CATTCCCCCTTTGAACAGGATCAGATAAGTGCAAATAAGAGGGTCAGAATGGTGACCAGACAGCCAAGGGCACTGCTAGCCTTCAGTGGACAACTCTCCTGGGCCAGCCTGAGAAAGTGGTCGAGCTTGGCATAAAAAAGGAAAAGTCATGTCTGATTATTAGCAAGCTGTAAGGACTTGTCTACTCTTCACTTCTACCCTGGACAACTATTCAGTTCAGGAATTTATTTCACCTTTTATAATAATCCCTACATCCTGGTCAAAACGATTTAGGTTTTTCTGAAATTTTAGGAAAAAATTCCAATACAGATTCTCACTCATGGTCTAATTCACATATATATCTAACTTTCTTAACTCTGTTAAATTACAAAATGACTCAAGTGTTAATAAATCCTGCTGGCCGGTTTTAAAGTCTGGTAGGCACAGAGGGATACAGAAATCTTTTTTGGAATACATGAAATTCTCCAGCCTCTTCTTTTCCCCTTAAGATTTTTTTTTTTATAATTGAGATGTAATTCATATACTATAACTTCACCCTTTTATAGTGTATAATTCAGTGTTTTACCCAAAATTGTACCACCATTGTCACTATCTAATTCCAGAACATTCTCATTACACACCCACCCCCTAAAAAACCCATCCTCATTAGCAATCATTCTCTATTCCTTCCTGCCACAGGCCCTGGCAAACACTTTGTACTGTCTATGATTTTTCCAGTCATTTTTTACTTTCATGAAACTGAAGGTGAGATACAATGATTTGCACAGGGTTGCAGTCACTTAGTAAGACAGCAAGATTCTAGCATACATATTTACAGTAACTTTTTAAACTATACATTAAAAAACCCCAAAAAATCAGTAAAAATATGTTTAGCTCAACTGTACGTATCCTAAATGTGGCTATTAAGACATCTGATGTATAAAGCGGAGTCTTTACAATAGTGATTCCCAAGAAGTGTCTCAGGCACGGGAGAGGCATGGGTGTGGGGCATTAGGCAGAATCACTAAAGAGGAAGAAGAGATGTGGCTGGTGGAAAGGAATTGCACTTCGGATGGGGGGATGCAGAGCGATGGTTGAGGGAAATGTGAGGCTATGTGGTTTACAGAATAGATATATTTCTTTTTAGCCGAAGGTTTTGAAATTCATGTTAATGTGCCCAGGTGTTCACTTGCTTCCTTTTACAGAGCCCCCAGTGAGCCCCAGAGCTCCCCAGTCATTTCCTGTTTGTTTATGAGTAGTAAACGCAGACATTAATAGTGCTAACACCACTCAGAATACTTGTAGGGTAATGACACCTTGCAAAATAATGCAGGAACTTTGACTTTTTAATATTGTCTGTATTTTCAAATAAGCTAAATAATTACAAGCTTAACTCTCTTCTGTTACCATCAACAAATGTGTACATAGAAACAATGATCCCATAGACTAAAATCATCAGAATCCATCTGCAAAAATAATTAGCAATGCATTTTATGTCTTAATATTGCAAAAAATCATTAACAAAAGGAAAAAAAAAAGGATGGGAACTGCTCAACACACAGAAAAAAATTCATTGTTCAAAAGAGATTAATCTGAACCTCAACCTTTTTTGGGCTCATTTACAAATATTATTAAAACAGCAATTGAAAGGGACAAAGTAGGGATGCCTGGGTAGCTCAGTCAGTGAAGCGTCCAACTTCAGCTCAGGTCATGACCTTGCACTCGCTCACTCACTGAGTTCAAGCCCCCGCTTCGCTTCGGGCTCTGTGCTGACAGCTCAGAGCTGGAGCCTGTGTCTCCCTCTCTCTCTGCCCATCCCCCGCTCACTCTCTGTCTCTCTCTGTCTCAAAAATAAACAAACATTAAAAAAAATTTTAACAAAAGGGACAAACTAATCGAAACCAAATATTTTATTAGTTAAAATTGAGATCCTAAAACCACTAAGACTATACAACTTAAAAATAACCTCTTGGCTCCAACCTAGAAAAGTTTGATTTGCCAACATACAATGAATATGCAGGAACCTACTACTACTGAGTAAACAAACTGTATTTCACAAACAAGTTACTGTGAGTTCTAGAGATCCTGCAGATGATCATTATCATTTGTCTGAAAGACGACTGCTAGAAATGCCTACTTAATGTACTCATAGAGCTGGACACTGAATGGCATAACGACCATTTGAAGTAGAAACCTCTTGTCTACCAAATATTTTACTGAAACTGATATTAATATGTAAACTAACTTAAAAAGTCAACTCTTAACTGTCTACAGCAAAAGAGAGCTTTGGTACCAATAAATGGGAATTAGGGCGTCAAAATAGACATTGTTTGTAGATTTACAGTATGTTTTTTTAAATTAAATTGGCAATGCCTATAGACAAAAGCGTGAAAGTCTCATCCTTCTGTTACCTACACTACATGAGGAATGAACAACCAGACTCTTTCAAGTTACTGGTCTAAATAAAGCACTATCCTAAAATTTCTTCCAAAATAATTAATGGGTCACATCCTACAATTTAGCAATAGGTAAAAAATTAAGTACTTTACTTTTCAATGCCCCCTTTATCTTTTGACAGGAGCAGCAAGATACTGGGGTAAAAGTAATTCCAATAAGTACTTCCAGAATAATCAATTTCAGTTTTTCCATTTGAAGGGGGGGGGGAGCAGCAAGATACTGGGGTAAAAGTAATTCCAATAAGTACTTCCAGAATAATCACTTCAGTTTTTCCATTTGAAGGGGGG